TCGCTGCCCCGCCGGCCCAGGTTCCTGCCGCGGATGGTCAGCAGAGTCCCGCCGTCCAAGGGGCCACTCAGGGGCTCGATCTGCCGGGAGGCCAGATGGGGGGTGGATGGGGTCTTGCGCTGGGACACGGCAGGCTCCCCTCCCACGGTCACCCGTGTCCAGGGGAGTTAGGGGTGTGAGACTCGCTACTCAGAGGACAGGGGATCGGGGAGGGCTGGAATGGCCTGTCACCTGGAGTGTCACGGGCTGCCCATGGACGTGCCGAGAGTCTGGGGATGCCACTTAGGGACACTGAGGTGGACTCCCAAGACCACACGGCCTGCCTCCCAGTCAGGCGGATCAGCCTGGGCTGGACACAGAACACGGGCTACACCCAGACCCTTCCCTGAGGGTCCTTCCCTTGTAGCCACAGCCCAGGCAGCCTTTGGTGGCCTCGGTGATCACCGGTCGGGCAGGGTTTCTTGAGCCAGTTCTGAAACCCAGTGACACTCGGCCTCCAGCGCCTCCTGCCCCCGGCCCGTGCAGTTCTGAAACCCAGTGACACTCGGCCTCCAGAGCCTCCTGCCCCCGGCCCATGCCCTGCCCTGCCACTCTCCAAGCACTCGGGACCACGCGCCCACTACCTTCTGGCTCCCACGCCACACGGTAGCTCCCAGAGGGGCCCCCAGCCTTGTTCTTGGGTAGCACCCACGCGTGTGGGGTGTCAGAGCCTTGTGGGAGCGTGCGTGTGCACGTGTAGGTGTGTGGGTGTGATGCTCCTGGGGAGACGTGCTTACCGCTCGGATCTCGGGGGCGGGGCAGGCGCCGGGCAGGGGCTGCAGGGGCCCCCTCAGGCGGCAGCTGTCACTCCACACACACAGGTGACCCAGATCCTCGCGACCCAGACACTGGGAACAGTCAGGACTGCCCATGGCGCAGTTGTAGACCTCCACTGGGGAGACACGAGGCAGCTCGGGTTACCACGCCCTGGCACATGCTCCTGCGTCCCTGTCCCTCCACACTTGTCCTCCTGCACCTCGTCCAGACCCGGCCTGGGCTGAGCATGGGGCAGCCAGGTGTTACAATAGGATGCTTCAGGGAACCAGCAGTTAGCGTAATGGCTATATCGCTGGACTCCCATGTAGTCCACCGCGGTTCGCGTCCCGGACCTGGTGGCTTAAAACTCATACTGGGCACGTGTGCGTGTGTGCCCAAGATCCCGAGAGGAGAATGGAGGAGAAGGGATTACGGCGTGGCCATCCCCCCTGGGGGGGATTTCTCACTTTCTGTCTCTCTGTCTGTCTGGTGAGCGCACGCGCACTATAGGGAAAAACCTCTCAAAAAAAAAACAAAAACGAAAAAAGGATGCTCCCAGCCGTTGGAAACCATGTTTCCAGCCCGTGTTACAATAGGAGGCCCAGAAAGAAGGCATGACTTGCTGTGGGGCCCATGATGGCCCAGGCAGGCTTGGCCCACCAGGGGGCTCTGCGATGCCAGGGAGCCAAGCACAGGGCTCTGAGAGTGCGGGGGCTTCCGACCCGTGGACCAGCCGGTGCCCTCCACGGTGGGATGGGGCAGCCCTGTGTACCGTCAGGCCCCGCAGAGCTGCCGGCTATGCTTATTAGGCCAGCTGCAGGGGTGCAGGAGTCACGCGGCTCTCTGCAAAGCCCAGGCCACGCGGAGGGGCCCGGGGGCACGTCCACAGTCTCCCCGCGCACACAGGCATGTGGGTGTGTCTGTGTTTTGGCTTCCTCAGGCTGGAGGGCGTTGTTGGGGAGTGCCTGTCCCCCTCTCTCACGGAAGGACTTAGGACAGTAAACGTGCCCAGCACTGATGGCGGCACCGGCTCAGCCCGGCCTGCGCTCAGGCCTTTGTGAACGTCGGTACATGGAACCCGCACCACACCCTGGTCGCTTCCCACGGCGGCGAGGCTCAGGGAGGTACGGCACCTGAGCTTTCGCGGCCACCGGCATGGACACACCTCAGAGCCTGGTGCCCGCCGCCAGCCTGCGGGGCTCAGGGGTCAGAGTCCTGTGTCCAACGGGGACCAGCAGGGGGCATGCCTGCGACCCAGGGTCCGGCATGGAGTGGTCCCCAAGGCGGAGCCCCACGCCCCGTGCTGAGTCCCTGCGGCCACGTGGAGTGGGAGAGATGCCCACCTGTCATGGGGTCAGGGCTGTCCAGGAATCGGGGTGGCCGCCCCTTCAGCTGGAGGTGGAGCGGGAACACCTGGCTCTTCTGGGTCGTGTGCAGCTGCGAGAGGACAGCCCGGTGTAAGGGCCCGGGAATGTCGGGGTCCCTGCTGCGGAGCCAGGCGAGGGCAGCGCTGTGGGGATGGGGGAGCCGGAAGGCAGAGGGGAGGAAGGTGGGAAAGAAGGGGGGCATCTCCTGACCAGCCTCCCCGACCTCGATCCCGCTCTCACCACCACTTGGTTACAGCTCACGGCAGAGCTGTTCACCCACACGGCCTCGAAGTTCTCTTCCGGCCCGAAGCTGCACTCGAGGGCGGTGCCCTGCGGGAAACGGGGGTGTGGAGGAGACCTGCGCCCACACCCACCACTCCCATCCCCAGCTCCATCGGGACCGTCAACTGCTGCTCTGAAATTCTGACCATCTCCTGGAACGCCCTCTGGCCCCTCGTCCCAGCTGAGGGCGGGAGGGGGTGCGCGAGCACCCCACCTCGGGCCCCTGATGCCTCGCCAGATCCCCAGGGGCCTGACCCAGGGCCTGCCACGCAGCTGCAGACCCACTCCCTGTGGGACCGCACCCGCTCTTGGGACGCACCGTTCCCACCCCCACGCCCCACCCAAGCCCGGGCTCACCCACCTGGGCCCTGCCCAAGCCCATTCCTCCAATGGGGCAGCACCTCTTCACCCCCAGCCCAAGTGTCCATGGTCCAAGATGCCCCCTCAGCTCAGAGCAGCTTCCTCATCCACCCTGCATGCATCTAGGTGTGTGCTGGGGGCCTCCGAACCCCTAACACCTGTTCCCCACCCTGCGTGTGCTGTGGCGAGGACCCCCCTTACCACTCTGCCAGGTGCCGTGTCTACGCGCCTCTCCTCGCCAACTGGGGGGCGAAGGCTGGGCCCTCTGACCCCCAGGGCAGCTGTGGGAAGGCTCGAGCTCCGCTTGGAGAGGCACAGCCCTGAACCTCACCCCTGCTCCTTCCCGGCGGTGATCTGCTCTCCTCTCTGACCCTGCGCTTTCCAGACCGTCCATGGCCTCCCTGGCTGGCAGGGGTATAGGGGGACCTGGAGACCCTGGCCCCAGCCCCTGGGTACCCGCCACGTGTGCTGTGTCTGCAGGAGTGCTCGCTGTGTGTTTGTCGAGTGACCCCACGAGCCGGCTCCCCACCCCCACAGCGTCCCCCCAGGAGCAGCTGCGGTAATATTTGCTGAGTGGACAAACCGGAGCCCTGTGCGTGTCAGGGCAAGCCCAACCAGCCGTGTGGCAGAGCTTCCTGTTTACGTCCTTGTCGCTGGCAGAGTGACACCCTCAGGAGAAAGCAGGTCAAGTCCCTCCCCGCCCCTGTCTAGGGTCCCATCCTGGAGCCGGGAAAGCCTGCGTTGTCACCAGGTGCGCTGAGCTGGCAGTGGGACCCCCCCTCAGCCCTTAGCACGGAGGGTGGCAGATCCAGCCTGTCCTGGGGCTCCCTGGGGTGGAGGCTCAGCAAACAGCTGGTGGGGAGCCCAGGCTACCCCACCAGCCTGCCCTCGGGGTCCTAGAAGCTGACCCCGGGGCCCGGAGGGCAGGGATGGTGCTGGCTCCCAGTTACCCGGTCCGAGAGACCCAGACAGCAGCCAGATGAAGGCACGAGCCTCCCATCCCCTGCTCCTGTGGCCCCGGGAAGCAGAACTATTCCCCCAGCTGCCCAGACCCCGGCTTCTCCCAGAGGCTTTGCCCCAACCTCCGGAGTAGGGCTTGAGGCCTGAGGGCTCCCCCCACCACCCCGCCCAGACCCGGCCCCTGCCACGCGGCTTCCTGACACATCCCAGATGCCGGCACGTGGCCCCCACGTGTGCCAGCTCCTCCGTGGAAGCGACAGATGGCAAGTCCCAGGAGCGGGGGAGGGGGCTGGCACGCTTCCAGGGTGCGTCAACACTTCCCACCCGGGACGCTCCACCGGGAGGGGCCCAGAAAGGCGGGCGCCCTCCCCCAGCCCGGGGGAGGGCAGAGCGTGGATCTGGAGTCGGGGCAGTGCCAGGCCAGCGTCCTCGTCTTCCTCTTCTCGACAATGGGGATAGGGAGGGTGGTGGCCGGGAGCTCTGGCCAGGCTGGGCAGTGGGCTCAGGCGGGCTGGGTGTGTCCAGGCTCGTGAATTATCTTGGGGACAGGGAGGGGGCACCTGTGGGCAGTGTCACTATGGGGCCCAGTTCTACCAGGGGAGCTTAGGCGGGCCAGGCTCTCCTCTCGGGGCGCTGGCCAGCGTCGCTCAGAGGCTGTCGGACACCTGCTGTCCCTGCAGCCCTCGCCACCCACTGCACCTGCCTCCGGCCCTGAGCGGGACTTTCTCACACGGAACTTGCATGTTCACAGGAGGAAAGTGAGGCACGCCAGCACCAGGGGTCAGTGGAGGTCCAGAGCAGGGTCACCACCGCTGGCGGCGGGCAGTCAGGGCCTGCATGTCCCCAGCCCTGCCTCTACTTACCTGGAAGAAGGCAGCATTGGCCAGGGGCACCAGGATGTCCTGGGAGCCGCCCGTGGGCACGGGTGCCAGGGGCGAGGGGAGGGTCTGAGGGCAATCTTGGGGGCTCTGCGGTGGAAACACAGGGAGAAGGTCACACGGGGCATTGCAGAGCTGAGGCAGGAGCCACCCGCCACCCTGTGTGGCCTGTGCCAGGGAGACCCCACTGGCCTGGGTGGCCAGGGGGAGTAAAAGCCAGGAATCGGATCTCACAGCCAGCCGCCTGGGCCTCCGCCTCTCCCTGACTCCCCACCACCACCCCCGTTTTACAGACGAGGAACTGAGGGAGAGCCCAAACGCCCTGTCCAGGGGCAGAGCCACACTCCTCCATGAGGGCTCCTGCTCAGAGGAGGCCAGAGACTGAGAAGGAGTCTGGCCTCCCCCTGGCCCTCTGGGCCTCACCTTTCCCACCTGCATGAGGGACCCCCAGGCTGGGCTTCCTGCTCCGCCTCCTCCTGCCCTAGTCTGTCAGGGGAAGGAGCTGACCAGGAGGCACCCACGGAGCCACGTCCACTGGAGGGGATAAACTGTGGGGGCCCTCACGGGGTCTTTCCTTTTTATTCTTCTTTTTCTTTTTTCTTTTTTTTGGAGAGGTTTTTGCTATAGGGCGCGTGCGCTCGCCAGGCAGACAGAGAGAGACAGAGAGACAGAAAGCAAGAAATCACTCTCCAGGGGGGATGGCCATGCCGCAATCCCTTCTCCTCCATTCTCCTCTCGGGATCTTGGGCACGCATGCACATGCGCCCGGCATGAGTTTAAACTACCGGGTCCAGGACTCAAACCGTGGTCGACTACGTGGGAGTCTAGCAACATAGCCATTACGCTAACTGCCGGTCCCCCTCTTTTTCTTTTCTTAAAGAAAAAAATATTATTTACTTAATATGATCTGTTCCTCTCTTAACTTTGACCAGAGAAATAGAAAGCGGGAGAGCAAGCCACCGGGACTGGGACTCGAATCGCAGCCGATCACATGGGAGTCCAGCGCCTTCACCACCAGGCCACCTGCGGCCCCATCTCTTTATTCTTGATCGGACAGGGCACTCCTTAAGGGCAGGGCTGAGGGCTGGTTCCACTTAGAGTCTGGGCACAAAACCAGCCCAAGAGGGTACGGTGAGGTCAACGCCAATGATTCCCGGCAGGGGTGCCAGGGTCCACAGCAGTGACCATGTGGTGACGATGACAGCACTGAACTCCAACGCCCTAACTCCTCATGGCCTCCTCCCCACCCCCTGGAAGGCAAGGTCTCCCACCACGGCCACTGCACTGAGAGGAGCTGAGGCCCAGGGAAGCCAAGCGGGCTGCCTGAGGGGCTTCTGGCTGGGAGCTTGCCGACAAAGGGGCATTTCCGGGGGTCGGTGCCCCGTCAGCCCATGGGGGCCTTGGCTGAAGAAGCCACACGGCCGGGACCAGGGGAG